TTTTTTTTTTTTTTTTTTTTTGCAAAGATCGGGACGATAATTCTCGGCAGAAATTGGATTGAGTTCCCATAAATACTTTTTTCAATTTATTTTTTAAAATATTATTTTTAAATTTTTATATAATTCTTATTAAAATCATAATTAATTATTCTCCTAATATAATTTTTAAAAATTATAATTTTAATATTACAATAACATAAATATTATTTATTTTAAGTGAAGCGAGAAATTAAGTAAGGACAAGGATGAGGAATATCTCGTCGCCCGCTCCTATTTATGTAATAAGAAAAAAATATTTTTCACTCTCCCTTCCATTCTCTGTCTAAACCAGGAATTTTCACCGACAATTTTTGACACGAAAATAATTATGAAAATTGTCAAATTATTATATTTAAGGACACAAACAAAATATATATATAATTTAAGTTTAAACTAGCTTAAATATATTAATTTTTATGGGATCAAATGAAATATTTAAAATGTGTGGGACAATTATGGGTTTGTTAGTTAGGGCCGTGTTTAAAAAGAAAAGAAAAAAAAAAGAAAAAACAAAACATATATTTTAAATCTAAATTTTATAAGATGTATTTATTTTTATCACAAATTTTATATTTTATAAACTATCATTTCAATTTCTATAAATTATGAGTGTTTCAATTTTTACCTTTCATCGGATGAATAAAATTGACGATTTCGTGCATGATGCATTCATTATATTGAAATCATGAAATTTACTTCTTTTATTTATTTATTTATTTATTTATTTTTGTAATATTTGTGGTTCGAAAATTCAACACGAGTATAATTTCAAAACATATTTAAATTAATTTTGTGAAATGAAAAATTATGGTGAAATTGATAAAGCTTGTGATCGTTCTCAATTGTGATCCTCTTATAGTATTTAAAGTTATTTCAAGTCACTCCGTCTAAAAATAGAATTTAAAAATAATATTATTTTATGATATCTAAAAATTTAGATAGAAAGAATGAATAATAACCGACAGAAATAACCTAACTTAATCATAACCAAAACTCTGTTAAACATACATGTCTTAATAAATCCATAACCAATTATAAAATAAAATCTTAAAACTTCAAATAATAATAATTATAGGTTGGAATGATTCCACTCTCAAAATAAAAAATAGGTTGACTCATTATCGATATCGAATAATAATATGGTTATCATCAATAATTATAGATGGTTAAATTGATGTTCGATATAAATTTTTTTAAACATATAGAAATTAAGTTAAGAATTGGATTAAGTTTAATGAATCGAGAGTCATCGCAACTTTAAAATATAATAAATATTTTATTGTCTTCACATAATCCACCGGTCAAAATCATAAGATATAATAAATATTTTAATGTGAAAATCACATGGCTAAACTAAAAAAAATTTCTAATAGAAAATAAATATGGTGGTATGGAAATGTTTCCTTGAACAAAATCAATTTCTTATAAGCACATTTGAAAAAATTAATAAATTAAATCGTGTTCAAATATAAATTTAGATTAATTTAAAATTATTTTGAAATAACAATTATAACTCGATTTACAAAAAAAAAAAAAAAAAAAAAAAAAAAAAAAAAAAAAAAAAAAAAAAAAAAAAAAAAAAAAA